GTCGATGGGAAAGGAGTAATTGTCTAGGGTAAGAGTACAGCCTATGAATATGTCGTTAGCGCTCTCTTTCTTTCCGTTAGCCATCTCGATAGTGAACGTTTCGGTTAAAGGTTGGGGTTTACATTTGATCAGATGTTTGAATGCATGACTAACAAAACTCCTCTCCGCACCAGAATCGAAAAGAATGCATGCATAAGAGTTGTCAAGGAGGAACGTACCCGTAACAACGGTAGGATCAACGACCGCTTCCTCCTGGCCCATCGCCAAACTCTTCCTGTATTGCCACCAGTTGTTGCCTTGGGGCAGTTTCTCCTGAAGTGCCCAGTCTCTCCACATCCATAACAAGCTTGACCAGCACCCGCTCCCGGAGCCTGGTTGGTTGGTTGGGTTGGCACCTTGCAGTATCGGGCTGTGTGTCCCTTCCTTCCACAGCTGTTGCAACTCAACTCACGGCAGGGTCCGTGATGATGAAAGTTACACTTGTTGCATAGAGGTAGCTTCCCTGCATAAACACCGGTAGGAGCTTGAGTGGTTGGAACGGCAGCTGGAGTAGCAGCAGGAGTAGTAGCAGCAGGAGTAGTAGCAGCATGAACTGCCACTGTTTGTTATTTATTGGAAGGCTCCTGCGAAGACTGGCTCTTTCGCTTGTTCCAGGATTTCTTCTTCTTCCCACCACTTTCCTTTTGTGGCTCAGAGACGGCTGCCACCTCATCTAGATCGACTCCATGATCGATCAGAATCTGTGCCAGGCACTTGGCGCTATCAAATGTAGTCGGTCTAGCAGCCAAGACGTTCCCTTTGGTTGGGGCCGTCAGCCCCCAGATGTACCTCTCGATCTTTTTGCTTTCCGGGGTGACCATTCCCTGACAAAGGAGAGCCAGATCACAAAATCTAGCAGTGTAGGCAGCGATGTCAGATCCCTTCATCTTCAGATTCCAAAGTTCGTGCTCCAACTTTTGCACCTCGCCCCTCGGGCAGTATTCAGCAAGCATGAGTTCCTTTAGTCTTTCCCAACCCATAGCATTAGCTATTGGCAGGGTTAGGGATTTGACTTGACCATTCCACCAGGTCAAGGCTCGGTCGGTGAAGGTGCACGCGGAGAACTTTACCTTGTTGGCTTCGGAACAAGCGCAAATTTCGAAGATGGATTCGATCTTCTCGAACCATCGAGTCAGAGCGATGACTCCTCCGTTTCCGTCGAAGGACTTGGGCTTTGCAGTCATGAAGTCCTTGTAGGAACACTCCTTTTGTTGTCCCTGACTTCCGACTTGTCCTTGAGGATCGGTTCCACCTCCAGCCCCACCAGCGTTCACTTGTGCCATTGCTGCAGTCACGACGGCTGTAACAGCTGCCTGGAACATGGCGAGGTCGAACTGAGGGGGTGGTGGTGGTGGCAGCGGAGTGTTGTTGTTTTTTCTGATGGGTCTTTCTCGGGGAGGCATCTTGTTCTAGAAACAACCAGGAAAGAAGAGGATGGTAAGTCCTCGAGATATATGAAACAAGATATATCTTATCCTGATAATAAAATGTTCTACCAAGCGATAAGCAATGAAAGGTTACTAATGCAAGTAAGTTATCGCTGAGAAACAAATAGGCAGCAACACTAGGAATGAATCTTTTTACTGAATTTGGCTCTAGCAAAATACTCCTATAGTATTTTATGGTGAATGTTTTTGTTCTTGGTAAGTTTTAGGCCTGCTGTAACACCACCGTCATTCCCAAGCACATGTTGGTCATGTCTTGACTGAATATAGTTGATCAGGCTGTATTCACCCTAAACATGATTACATAACTGCCCAGGTTTAACCGCAGTGCCCGAACATCCAAATACTTTTTGTTTTGTTCTACTAATGACACAAATTCTGTTATGTATGCATGCTCGTATACTTTTATAAAAATACTTATATTTTTTAAAGTATACTTTTAGTGTAGAGCACTTAGGCCCCTTAGTGTTTATAGTTGTATACCACGTAAGGTTCGGTATACTAGTTCGCTATAAACAAGGGCTCTGATACCAATCTGTCACACCCCAAAACCAGAATGGCGGAAACGTTCTGGGGTGGAGGACGTCATGTGTAGCATCACAACCAGTGGATAATAGCAATCATAGAAACACAACCATTACAATGAATACTTGAATGAAAATGATTACACCAGTTTGGAACTTTGTCTTAAACTTGTTTGAATTACATCAAATAGTTTCTAAAATATAAACATAAAACTCTTATTGCTCCAGCTCCTCAAAAATCCAGCAGGTACCTGTCTACTGGTTTCCTAAGAATACAAGTAGTTTGAAAAATATCAGCTAGCAGTTCGGGTGTGGGATTGTCAGTCCCGAATAGATCTATTCACAAATCTCACGCTCTCCCTCCAGGAGACTCTGGTTATACTATGATAGGATTTATCCCTGTACACCTAAGGGTACAGTGTGGAAGTAGAGCCTCACAGTATCGTACAATCTAGTTCACATGTAGTGTTGTAGCGTTATACCGTAGTGAAATCCGTATCTATACCGTATGTAGTGACAATTACAGTTATACCGTAGTGAAATCCGTATCTATACCGTATGTAGCGTTATACCATGTTCATGTTGTGATGTAAACTATAACTAAATCTGTGATATATGTTTAGTAGTGAAAGTTTCTGTACTTGTTATGTTTCGAAAATCCCAAACTATACCGATTATAGTTTGCATGCATAGCGTAGTGAATATCGAGTCCGGAAAACTATGCAATTTAGTGATAATTTGAAAAACTTGCCTTATGCTCAACATAGTACAAAAGGGTTAAAGTATGAAAATTGCATGAGTTTTATATTTGTTAAAAGCTCTTTGTATTAATTTACAAAAGCATTTATGGTTTAGCTTGTATTCTCCCCCTGAAAACGTTATAAAACCAGTAAAAGTGTAGGGGTATGAACTCACCTTGAGCGAGTGATTTGAACAAAAGACAGGTACGAGATGCTGAGTGACAAGTGAAACCTCGAACTCAATTTGATCCCAATAACATGTAATGATACACATAGGAGTCAAATGAAGGTATTTCCCTACTAAAAACCATAGAGAATCACTCTAGGGACTTGGAACTACTTGCACCAAGTGATAGAACCTTGTAGGATTGAGTATGGGGAGTGTATGGCCACCTTGAGTGTGTGTGCGGCCATGGGTGTGCGGCCCAATGGGTGTGCGGCCGTACACTCATGAAAGAAGATGCCTTTGAAGTGTTCTTAAGGTCCATACTTGCATCCACGAAGTATTCTAGGTCTATACTCAATTGTAGTGCAAGTTAAGGGTCCTAGAAGTGGGTTTGCGGCCCTATGATGAGTGTGTGGTCGCACACTAGGGTGTGTGGTCGCACACTAGGGTGTATGGTCGCACACTAGGGTGTGTGGTCGCACACTTGAGTGTGTGGTCGCACAAGGGTGTGTGCGGCCGTACACAGGTGTGTGCGGTCGTACACCCCACAAGATGATGTCCAAAATGTCCATTCCAAGGTGCAACAAGGCTAGGGGCATGTCTATATCGAATATGGAAGTCAAACTCTCACTTTGGAGGGTGTTTTAAGGGTGTGCGACCACACTCCCTTCCAAACACGAAGAACATGTCAATTTTTGCACACTTAAGGCTTAGATAGAGTGGTCTTTCATGGATTGCAAGCTAGAGGATGAAGTACTCACGTTCTTGAAGCTTTGGAGGGTTTAAGGTTGGAGAACTTGAGAGAATAGAGTAGTTTGCTGCCAAGGAGTGAAAAGAATGAAGGGGAAAGGAGTCTACCCTTTATATAGGGGAGAGAGTGCTGTCAAAAAGTGAGTGTGTGGCCAAGGAGTGGGTGTGCAGCCGCACACCCATGTGTACGGCCGTACACTCCTCCAAGAGGTGTGTATGGCCCGGTTTTCTCACTATGTGACATGCTGACTCATTCCTAATCTCAACCTTGGTCAAATTCAAGCTTAGAGCACTTAAATGAACCCTTAAACAGTACCGGAAATCAACAAAACAAGTTGAATATTGATTGAATTGACTAAGTGTACAGGATAGAAGTTCCGGGTTGTCACATAATATGTTGGGTAAAACATGGGTATATGAAATATGAGTTGGATGATGAGTTGAGAGCTGATATAGACCATGAGGTAAGGGTGAGAGGTGGACGATGTGAGAAGCCTTGTTCCCAAATGTTGGCCCCGTCATCTAGCAGAGTATGGATGACAACCACAGACTATTCTAGACAGTCCAATGGAACACTAGCAGGCTCGCAAACTGTAGGTGTTGTGAATGATGTGTTCACCTGGTGTACTCTAAACTCTGGCGATCATGCAGACTTGGTGCCTAAACCTTGGCGATCATGCAGACTTGGTGCCAAAACCCTGGCGACTATGCAGACTTAGTGCCTGTTGTATAAACCCTGGCGACTATGCAGACTTAGTGCCTAAACCCTGGCGACTATGCGAACTTAGGGCCTGTTGTATAAATCCTGGAGACTATGCAGACTTAGTGCCTAAACCCCGGTGACGATGGAATTCGTGCCGATTCCTTAGGATGATCCTTAGGAATGAATGAACGAGGAATAGTTGATTCTTAGGGTAGATCCTTAAGAGTAAAGAAGATAATGGGGATGGGTAATTGGGTTGATTGTTTGATGTTTAAACATAATAATTATATTATTGTGGGTGAAAACCCTATGTACTCACTAGGTTTCCGAACCTGACCCACTCCAACTTATTTCTATCACATGTGTCGATATGAAGTTACATTACACTGAGAGATTTAAAAGAGATGTAGATCACTAGTGTAAATGAATGTAAGTTCTGTTTATGCTTATGTTTCTGTATTGACAATGACATCCCAAATGTTTTAAAAATGAATAAAAATACATTTCTTCGGAAATGCTTTGATAATGTATTTATCATGTTTTACTGGGAACAAATTCCGCAACATTTTTATTAAAAGAAGTACTCTGATTTTTATAAAGCATAAACAAAATCAGTCTTTTCTGGCTATGAAAATGGGGATGTCACATGATGGTCTTATGAATGGTATTATGATGGAAGGAAATAAGGCCGATGGTGTTATAAATGAAGGGGTGATGGAGGGAAATGAAGCTGATGGTGTTATAAATGATGGTGTGATTGGGGGAAACCAGGGTAATGGTGTTATAAATGATGGTGAGGGTGACGGTATTGAGCAACCACATGATGGAGCAGATATGGATGGGAATGATTTTGATAATGAAGGGTATATACAACTTAGAAGGACAAGAAAACCCTCTAAAAGGATCACCCTGTAAAAGATGAAGAAGCCTTTTTTTGACAAACATGGAAGAGGTACCAAATCTACCAATCTAGTAGCTTTGGATTAGATGGATAATATATACGGGAAAAAAATGGGGATGTTATAGTTGAGCAATTGTATAGGTAGCCCTTTTTGGTACATGTTTTGGTATACACCCACTACTTGCATCATATATCAATTTGTTTAGTGTTAGATTTTGGGTTGCCTTTTTGGTTATTGTCAAGGCTTTTTGGTATATATTTTGGTATATAAATGGATGGCTGCTTCATGCTAGTAAAAATTATGTGGTTGATGATTTTCATTGAGGTTTATAGTGGATGCCCCCAATTATGGTATGGTATGGTGTTTTTTTCTTGATCACAAGTGCACTTTGGTGATAACCATTAGCAATGTACTTTCATTAGTGCAATTTATGCATAACCTTACATTATGAATGTGACCAATTTACCCTTACATTTTGTTAGTGTATAAGAATTAGCAATGTACTTTCATTAGTGCAATCTTTTTCTACAAGTTATCCTTATATTCCATTACTGCAAAGTCTACTTTCATTGTGAATGTAACCAAATGTACTTCACCCTTAATACCCATAACATTAACAAGTAAATAACATTTTCTAGAAAATAAGTGCAACATAGACATGAAATAGTATTTGATTACCTTTAATACCCTTACCATTAATATATTACAAAGATGTAACAACTCTTGATTACCCTTAATACATTGCTAATACATGAAAAAGGTCTTGATTACCCTTTATACATTACCATAAACAGATTGCGAAACCAACAAAATTACATCTTAATAACCACTATTGCTACCATCAACAATATAACCACTAACAACAATATGATCACTTCTAACAATGGCTAGATCAGCTTTGTGTAAGACATCTCCCTTTTTCTACCTAGTTCTTCATCCACCCATGTGAAAAAACCATAGTTGCCTCATTCCATATACAACACACAAAAATTATGGGAGAAATTACATATGTTCCTCCCTGGAAACTTAGGGTAGTCTGAACTACAAAAATATAGAGGTTTTTACCTGATAATTAGGGCAGCCCCAAAAATTTCGTCCTGGGTTATCAGGGGTTTATGAGACTGATATACCATAAATATTACCACAACCACATGTGATTACCTTATTTTTCCTCCATATTGAACCACTATTGAAGTTTGATATTGCAGAGGAAGTTGTCATTTACTGTTAGAGAAGGGAGAAGTTGTGCGGCTAACTCCCAGGGTTGAAGGGTTATAGTGGAGATGGAGATGTGTTTGAATCTTTGCATCCATGTAGGATTAATGAGCAAGCCACGTATCTTCCAGCTAAGCTTGGTAATTAAATAACTTAAGAGAAAATGGTGAAAAGGTATAAACTAACAAATTAAAGAAAAAATGTGGCATTAATGAACCTAAAATCCAACTTTGGGGAAAACCGACAAAAACTTGCAAGCTTAAGGGTTTTTATGACATTTTCCCTTAGGAATTTTCTTATGAAAACTTTTTTTTTTCATTCTTACGAGTTCTTATTAATTATTAGAATACATTTTAATCGACTAACTATATTATATGGGAAGTTGCAGTAGACGCAATGTTAGCTTAGACAGACCTAAATAAAAAATGTCATATTGAATGTTATAGTCGACGTCACATATGATCAAATATCGATTTAGTCAAGTGAAATCCGTCTCAATGGTGTAATGGGTACAAAAAAACTTTAGTGGCTTACCATATACAACTAAAAGAAAAGAGACCTAAAGAACAAATTGTATACTATTTGTTGCCATTTTTATGACTCAATCCTTAAGAAAATAATAAAACTTAGAAGAAAAAAATAACCTGCTTTTCTGTAATGGACATTCCGGACACAATTATAGTCGGATTACCTAAATAAAATGTGTCAAAACTCATTTGTGTGGTCCCTTCATATATACATGGGATTCACCTCCAGCCAAAATGTGTTTCAGAAACTTTAAACAAAATCGAACTCCACCTTTCGAAGATAAGCATGGATTCGACATACCATATTAGTTTTCATGTGATTTCTTATAATGATTTTAATAATTGTTATATTTGTTGTCAGTTCTGGAATCCTTAAAACAACTCTAGAACTTACAATATTATAAGGTTAGGACTTTTTTGTATTTTTATTGTTAGAATTTTATTATGCCTCACTGAAACTTGTACATGGTGTAAACGACTTTACATGTACATGGTGTAAACAACTTTACATAACACATTAAACTTTATATAGCATATTACCTTTGTCGTGAATTAGAAGAACTATCCAAAATGAACAATTTTAGAATTATCAATATGAAGGTGACCTGATTAATTTGTGTGGGTGATGCTTAAACAATGGGACTAGTTACAGTTTTATAATGTTCAAATATTTTTTTGGAACCAAATCATTCTTTTATACAAAAAGAACTATCATTCTAGTTTATTTGATTATTATTGGCGGATACTTCTAGATGATTTTTTGAATTATTGACATCACTCTATCAACTTTCAACTTTCCAAAACGAATAAAAAACTTTAAAGGTTATAACTATTATTATTATTTTTTATTTTTATGGTTTTGTTAATCTTTCCTTATACGCAAAATGATCCTAGGTGGGATAAAATAGTTTTATGTTTATTCAAAAATTTAAAGCTTTCGTTTCCGTTTTTAGTGTTTTTAGAAACATGTTTTTAAATAAATCTCAATAACTGGTATCAGGGTCATTTTTGCATGCATAGTTAGATTATTTAGATTATTTGAACAATCTTTGTTTTTTAAAAACATGGATGATTTTCTTTTGTAAAATAATATCATACATATTTTTATGACAACTTTAAAATATTTATAACTATTATTTTATGTCACAACTAGCATTTTCAACTAGGAAATTCTATTTCCCATGTAAACATTAGCTATTGTAAAACTTGTACTTTAAGTAAATATCATGCTATATGCTATCATGAAATCATCCATTTGAATCCAAACCCTTTATTGAAGTTCAAAACCTAATACAATACATCTCATATGTTCAACTATGGATTGAAAACCCTAAAAATCCCGGTTCAAGTTTATTATGGACTAGGATCCTCTTATTGGGCCTAATGGACCAATAAACTTTCAATTTGACTACTTTAGGCCTAGGAACCCTATTTAGGCTCTAATTGGACGCACATTCATGAAATTAAGGTATTTTGGGTCATATGGGCCTAGAATGATCCATCTTATTTCTGATGGGCCATAACTAGCTTCATAAGCCCTAATGGGCCGTAAACTACATCACTGGGCTTCTTTGGGCCGTAAGCCCTCATAAGGGCCCAATAGGCCGAAAAATATTTATTTTGGGCCTCATAAACTCGAACTAAGACAAGAAAGGGCCCAAATCCTCTCATTTCCTTTCTCCTTAACCATTCTTGGCCCAACAATAATACAAAAAACAGAGAGAGATTAACTAGCTAATTACATGACACCTCACTATGGACTAGAGGTTACCTAGGCATATTATCCATCATGTATCAATAAATCTCATACCTCCATGCAACATCAACTCACTATTCTCCAAAGTCAACTTTCCACTTCTCTCTTATCTCTCACTCTATCTCTCGGCCTCTCTCTCACTCTCCAACCTTTCTCACATTTCAAGATCAACACTTATTCTCTCAACACTCTTCCACCCTTCTTCTCTCAAGAAAATCATGGGTATAAGGAAGATTCTTCAAGAGAATCATTTCAAGCTTCACATTGTGGTAAGATCTTACAAACCCTAGTTGATATACTTCATTTTTAAGCTCAAACACTCCTCTTACACACATGTTTTCGTGAATCATGTTTCTTAGAACCATCTAAGTTTGAAAACTTTCTCAAGAAGCTTGCTAGGGCCGAGATCTCCTCATCTCTTCACCAAAAACCGAAAACATCAAAGCAAAGTGAGTTCATACCCCCTATTTTCGATTTTTACTTTGTTTTGGGGGAGAATACAAGTTGTTTTGTGTAGATCTATGTGTGTATGTATGATTTGGTGTGTTTTTCTAGTTATATATGTGTTTATGTGTTAAAAACTTCTTGAACCTAAAGATCTACTAAAAGATGATGATATTTGCATAACATAATACTTATTTCAACATATCTTACAAGAAAAATGTTTAAAATACATTAAGGATACTTGAATCTATGAAAAACTTCATGAAAGGGACTAAAAATGACAAAAGTGACAAAATATGGGTTGTTATGTAACTCTCGGCTAGTAAGGGGTTCAAAAGGAAATTTTTGCTAAATAATGGCTAATCTCGACATTTGAGACCTTATAGGGACCAAAAATGTAAATATTTTCACAAGTGGGCCTTATTTGGGCTTCTCACGGTTTTGGGGCCCAAGAATTGAAAATTTTGGTCTTTTGTGGGTTAAATTGTGTCATTTTCAAGAAGGTTGTGTCAAAAATGTAAATTTTTGATAAAAAGGGTCAAAGTTGCGAAATTATGAACATTTGGGCCAAAACGATGAAATTTTCTATAAATGGGCCGAAAATGTATATTTTCACAAAAATCAAGCCAAAAATGATATTTTTGACAAAAATGAGTTAAAAATGTTATTTTTACAAAAACTAGCCTTAAAATACAAGTTTTGTCCAAAGTGGGGCCTAAAATGTTATTTTTACTAAAGTTGGGCCTTAATTGTAAATTTTTGGCTTAATGGGCCAATAATGTCATTTTTACAAAAAGTGATCTTTTTATGCTATTTTAGTAATTAATTGAACTAATACTAGCAAAATAATAACAAACGGGCTAATTTTGTCATTCCCATGATATTGGGCCTTAGTGGCCCATTATTATGCTTGATAGGTCCTGAATACTATTTATTTGTTTATTGGGCCTCACTGACCCATTAACATGCGCGACGGACCTTGGATACTATTTGCGTGCTATTTGGGCCTATAAATACCTTGCATGTGAAATGGGCCTTAGTTGTCCTTTTACATATATTTTGGGCCCATGT